GTGTTTGGATGCTGGTGTGGGTAAGCAGAGAGATGGTGCCGGCTAGAGGGTGGGCTGAGATGAGAAAGGGGAGTGGTTATTCCCCTTATGACGCTATAAAGGACATGGTTTACACAGGCTTCACCACATATATGATTGTTACTAATTGTTTATAAAGTGAATTTTGCATAATATGGGACCTTTTAACGAGAAACAAGTTGTTACACAAAGAGAGAAAAGTCATAAAGTTAGTAGAAGGAAATTAAAGCAACTTTTTTTGACTCAAATGAAACGACTTTAATAATGAGATCTCAGTGTGGCTCTTATAATCTGTCCTAATCTGACCCTTTTTGTGGAGGTACAAAATCTTTGAGGTTCTATGACCAACAAGGTAACCAGAACACATGACTTTAACTGTTGGATGAAGAAAGCTGTGTGTTTATATGTTGGTAATAGTTTGGAGAATCTTAAACTCCTGATGTTTTCTTCCAGGAGCCCCTCAGAGCACGCTACAGGACCTTCAAACCCCGCCGATTTACAGGACTTCTTCTGCAGAATGTTTAAGGGGGGACCGCCGAATGACATGGCTGCCAACGGCGGAGGCTTTTTTCCCTCAGGTCCGCCCTATCATCACCCGCCCGGTGCAGGAGGGACTCCTTTCTCCTCTCCCTCAGGGCAGACAGGTTTCTACATGCCAGGTGCCCACAGGCCAGAATCCAGCGAGACCTGGCCTGATGGTGGCAAACCTCCCAGGAGGAGAAAGAAGGTCCGAAAACCCTTCCAGAGGTGAAGTCTGTTTACGTGTTTGCGTGTCAAAGCATGGACAAGAGGAAAAAAAAAAAAGGCCATGTTTGTCCCTCGCCTGCCTGTTGGCGTGCCAAGATCTGAACAGAAGGTGGTTGAGCTCAAAGCTGCAGTCAGATCAGCTGATCAAGCAGGGAGTGGATCAGCAGGAGGAAGAGTGTTGAAGGCCAAGGAAGCGGCAGTGATGGTGCTTTCTCTTTAATTTGACCTTATTGTGTTGTCGGTCTTAAACTTGACTGTAGCCTTGAAAACCGAAATCCCTCCAATGCTGTAACCAAGCATCTTCTTTTTTTTAGAAGTTCCTGCCAAATCCCTCATAGCATGATTTATTAAGCCTTTGTTTTCGTTTTTTTGATTGCTTCATTTTTTTTTTTATTTCCCACTTTGTGAGAGAGAGAGAGATGAATGGTTGAGCAGAGGGCTTCAATCGTTACGATTTACAGATCACAGGAGGGGAGAAATGAAAAGCGCGGTTTGTGCAGCTAGATTTAGCCAGTGTTCCCGTTCTAACTGCTGAGTTTGTTCTTCTCTGCCACTGGAGCATCACCTCCAGACTTTTTAGAAGTGATCCAAACGCCCAAAGCTTTTTGGAATCTAGTTTTAGTAAATCTTTACAAATAAAGCACTAAACCTTGTGGCGTGGAGTCGTCTCCAACTGCTCAGTCATGAAGATAAAACGGATTCAGCTTCAGATAAAAAGCTCAGGTTTGTTCTCATCTGCCTGGTGAAACTACAAGGTCTCCTTTTCTAACTCTTCCATAGAGGTCAGAGGTCAACCAGCCCAGGTACTGTAAAAATTGAAATCTAAATAAGTCATTTTTTTTCTTAAAATATGTGCATTTTGTCTTGAATTGAGGAGGTAGGCAAGACTCTTTGCCAATGGAACAAGACATTTTTCATTTAAAATAAAACACAATTGCATTGTCTTATTTCAAGTGCTTATTATCTAATTATCTTATTTTAAGAGTAAAAATACTCCATTAGCAAATCATCTCATTTAACTACTAAAATTTAGGTTATATACAGTTCATTTAAGACATTTTTTTTACTTATTTCTAGATCGTTTTTCCAGCATGACGTTCAGGTCATGCAGTTCTGTCGATGTTTTATTCTAGGTTTAAAAGTTTTCTGTAAAAGCTTTCATAATCTCATCCTGCTCTGAACTTCATGCTGTTCATTCGCTAAAAATCTGATGGTTAGGCGACTTTTAAAGGCAGCACTTTCCTTTTTGTTTTTTACGCTGCAAAAACAATCTAGAAATAGGTCAACATTTCTTAAATTAAGTGTATGTACCCTTACTTTGAGTAGGTAAATAAGATATTTGCCAATGGAATGAGTATTTTTAACTCTTATAAGATAATTAGATAATGTGCACTTGAAATAAGACAATGCAATTGCTTTCTTCTTATTTTTAATGTAAATTCTCTTGTTCCATTGGTAAAGTGTCTCTCTTACAGCCTCAATTCAAGAACAAATGCACTTATTTAAAAAAAAATTACTTATTTAGATATCAATTTTGCAGTGTAGGGGTGTAAACATCTACTATTTGTAATAAAAAGAGATGTTAGTACTTTCAAAGGTATTCTGAATAACCTGGAGGCTTTTTGATTACTAAAATGGTTTTAAGTTAATGCATATTTCCTAAAAAGCTTCGGAAATATTTGTTATTAGTATTAATGAAATTAAAAGACAACTTGTTGTCCTGGTGTTCTTTATCAGAGAAATGAGTTCTTATCAGGAGGCTGCTTACCGCTACCATCATTACACATTTAATTAGAGTAATTGGAATGTTTAATTCAGGCTATTTTTCTATCGAATGAAATGTCTTCCAGGGTAATTTCCATTTCATTTAATAAATCGCAATCATTTCAGATGAAACCGATTAGACTGGAGGCGCTAATCTGAAGAAAAAAAGCAGGGGGAAAAAAAAGACATGCTCTATTTCATTTTCACGCAGCGGCTAAAAATAAATCATCCTCCGTTTCTTTATACTTTTGGTTTGTTTCTTTCTCTCCTCAGCTGTAGCTGCTACACGGTTTTAACACGTTTTATTCCGCGATCGTCACACCTGTAGCCTCTGAGTTACTCTGGGTCAGATACCAGATTCTGGTTGGATTAACGTTAAGAAATGAGTCTATGATGAATAATTGAAACCTTCATTTAGCCTGTAGCTTCTACAGAGCAATCTGCTGCATTGTTTACACCTGAATTGAAGACTATGGGCTGTCATTGAACAGACAAGTGTGTGTGTGTGTGTGTGTAAGGAAGGCACTTGATAAAGGTTATATTTTATATTCAGAAAAGGTTTTCTATTGTGTTAATTTTCTCCTCTTTTATTTCTTTTTGTTTGTTTTGCACACCCAGCGCTGTAATAGAAAGTAGACTGCTTTTGATTTAGAGATATTTCATATGTTTGAAGCTAAACCTCGAGCTGCAGGTGAGTGGGTGGTCTTACTCACCAGGCTGGATGGCTTATTTGCAGATCTTGTTTGCACAGAATCACACTCTGCAGAAGATAAGTGTTGACTTATACTTTAATGCAGAAGAGCAAACTGCTAAAAGGAGCTCTTGTTGCAAATGCTCGTTTGTGCTGGAAATCTTCACCCGAAGGAAAGATATGGAGATGATTGTTTTTTTTTTTCCACAAACAAAGAAATCTAACATGTAGGCTCCTTTTATATCAAGCCAGGAAATAAAATCTAAAACTATCTCCTATGAAGGCAAAGCTTTTCGAGTTAAATTTCTGAATTTGATCTGTTAAAGTAACTTCATCCTGATCTTCATTAGTCGGCTTCGATGGACGGCCTAGCCTCATCCACCACGGTGTTAACAGACTCACTTCCTCTTCATCTCTTGGTGATTTGAGAGTATGAAATGCTGTACGTTTAAAGGTAGCAGTTCAGAGTCCCAAGAGGTCTGTTTCCTTTGTACGTTTTCACACAGAATATGCAGAGATTTTGCAAAAATATTTGACAATCATCAGGGTTTTTTTGTATGAAGTTAAAGAGGCGAGTTCCCAGTTTTAAAGTAATAATCTTGGGTTTCTCCCCCCCCCCCACTGCTTTGTCTGGTTTTCCAAATAAAGAAGATTTCCAAGATGTACAATGTTTGGTGTGTTTTCTGCTCATTTGACTCAGCTTCCATATTGCTGTCTGTAGCAGAGCTTTTATGCAACCTGGCCAAAAAAAAAAAAAAAGTACAGTCTCACCATGCTGCCTCGTTTTCCCCTCGCCGGCCCTTTCACATTCTGTTATGGTTGTGAAAATGGGACAGAGAGGTTGTAAATCTCAGCTCCTTACAAGGAGTTTCTCTAAAGAGACCAGAGTCCCTCATGTGATGTTGAAGGAAAAAAAAAACTGGACTCATTGATGCAAATGTTTGGTCAGCAGGAAGCATTCCTCTGCAGGCTTACATACGACCCATCAAACATTGATTCAACACTTTATAAGGCCTAACCCTCAAACAATGGTGCATTTTTTCAATATAAAATAAAATTCCCTCTTTTTTCCAGTGATTTTCCCCAATAAAATGCAAAATCGGGTAATAAATAGAGAGTGCGAGTGAATGAAATGCAGAATTGTATTGACACTTATAATAATCCCAAAGAGTTTGTAGGGTGGTTTCGTTTGCTGAAGAAGACTATCAAGGACAAGACCGACATGACCGAGATCCAAAGCTTCTCAGCAGAATGTGATTACCAGGCCATGAAGGTTAGGGAAAAATTTAGGCAAATAATCGCTCACAAAGACTTTTCCTTAAGGGAATTGAAAAGACAGATTAAGGTTTTACAAAAGAAAAACAATCTGGTTGGCTGAGAAATCTCAAATGTGTAAAGACATGACAGTCTTGACAGATGAGCTTAGAGTAAGCCAAGTGGAGTGTCGAAGACAAGAAGTTGAGCTTAGGATACTGAAAAAAGTCCCTAAGGTCCGAGGTTAATCAAAAGGTACAACGAAACAATCAAAGAGAACTAAACCCTCAGTGAAAAATTATCTCAACAAGAAAAAAAGTGGAAAAATAATTTAAAAAACAAAAAATACTGGAGGAAACTCTTTTGAAGAAAAAGAATAAATATTATCGTTCCATGTCTAAAATGGCAGACAAGCCATAATACAGAGTTAGATCAAAAGAGAAAGATGATTGAACGTTTAAACAGAGCCTGTGAAGACGCCATGGGCACACCAATCTTAGCGTTAAAAGACAAACAAATAGAATCTCTTACTAATGAGGTTGAACTTTTGAGAAAAGACAGAGAAGAAATATATCAGGAAAAAGTAAAGGAAATTAAAAGTCCGTTGGTAACAAAAATTAAACGGCTTAAGAGAAAAATTTCACGAATGTTATATGAAAAAAGTGATTGCTCTGCAACACATAATGTACAAATACGTGGATTACAGAAAGATATTGAGAAGCTTGAGGGTGACGAGAGAGATTAGAATATAGAGATAAATAAACTAAAGGATCAGATAGATAAGCAGCATAGCGATGTCCAGAACAGTAGGCAAGAAGTAAAAATGATAGAAAATCAAAAGTTTGATTTGCTCAAGGAATTTCAAGATGAAGAGAATCTCAACATGAAATTAAGGATTAAGAACAAATAGAAAACCTAAACAAGGATCTAAAAAAGGAAAATGAGGCACTTCAAGAGGAAATCAATGCAAAAAACACAAAGTTGAACAAATTAGAAAAGGAACGGAACTAATTGCACGGCAAATTAACCGTTCTCCAGGCTGATGTCGCCAAATACAAAAGTACAATCCTGGGGATGAACAATAAATTCAAGCGTATAAAAGGTAACATGCAGAATTGTATTGACACTTATAATAATCCCAAAGAGTTTGTAAGGTGAAGATCCTTATAAACCGACATGCCACCATTAATATGTTTGACAATAAAGTTTAACAATGCATGATGCAAATCCGTGAAGCAGCGAGACCGTGACTTTTAATTTAGGGATTTATAAAGGATTTATGAACTAGTTCTCTACTTACACCTGGAATCATATGTTTATTTTCAAATTTCACATC